TTAGCAGTAAACTAATAACATTATTTCAACGAATTGCGCCAAATACCTCAGATCAGATCAAGCCAGGGACTATTTTAAGCCAACTACGTACGGAAATAAGAGCAGCCGTGAGATCTCCTGTTCCATTTTCCAATCCTGAAGAACTTATCAGAGTAGCGTATCAAGTGGAGAGAGACCTGAGAGAAGTTAAAACGAAGCCTATGTTAAAATTTCCGGTAACCGCAACAGCAAACTTGCATTCTCAAAATAGAAACGAACCACCATCACCATGTAGATATTGTGGTGAACTTCACTTCCATCGTAACTGTCCACTAAATCCTTACAATCAGGGAAACTTACAGAGGGCTCCGCAGAACAGGACCGCTTTGCCACGTATTTCAGACACTCTAAAGGATCTGGGTGATGCCTCAATTTTTTCTGTATATGATTTAAAGAGTGGGTATTGGCAAGTGCCTCTAGAGTCGGAATCCAAGAAATATACTGCCTTTTGTACTCCTGACGGATCTTTATATCAGTTTAATGTAATGCCTTTTGGGCTTAAAAATGCTCCAACCACTTTCCAACGGATGATGACACATGAAGTTCTTGCAGGGTACTTACATAAATTCGTAAAGGTATATCTTGATGACGTTATAGTCTATAGTAATGATTTTAATACTCACCTTACCCATTTACATTTAATACTAGAGCGTTTTCGATTGCATCATCTTCAACTTTCACCATCTAAGTACCAAATTGCTTCTCATAGTATCAATTATCTTGGTCACCATATTTCTAAAAATGCTAACATGCCTCAGGATAAACACATCAATCTTATTCGAGACTATCCTGTTCCAAAAAATAAAAAACAACTTCAAGCATTTTAGGTACATGTAACTGGTTACGTGAATATATTTCAGACATGGCAGAAATAACAATACCATTAACAAAACTCCTAAGGAAAAATATTCGTTTTAATTGGGCAGAAGAACAAAAGAAAGCTTTTGAGCATATCAAGTCGTTAGTTTCGAAACCTCTCACCCTTCACAAACCAAATTTTAATAATAAATTTATTTTGCAAACTGACGCTAGTGAGCATGGTATGGGTTGTGTATTATATCAAGAAGGTCCTAATCAAGAAAAATATATTATTTCATATGCCAGCGCTACTTTCACTAAAATTGAATTGAAATACCATATCAGTGAAAAAGAGTATCTTTCGATAGTATGGGCGATTAAGAGGTATAGACACTACTTACAAGATAAACCTTTTACACTCAGGACTGATAATCGCTCTTTAATATGGCTACATAAAAATAGAGACGCCAAAACAAAACTTACTCGTTGCTCTTTATTATTACAAGAATTTTCCTTTGAAATTGAACATGTTCCTGGTAAATATAATGAACTTCCTGATTGGTTATCTCGAACATCTACTGAAATTCATGATTTAAGTTCTGACCTTGAAAGCAGATTATGCATACCAACTAGAAATATAGACTCCGAGCAAGTAATAGTTGTTAACCAAGTACAGACATAAAACGATCTAATTTTAACTATTTGTCACAAAATCAATCAACTGACATACGACGATTGAAAGAAACCCTGCTGGAACTCCAACGAAATGGAGCTGAATCTCGTCGAGACAGAAAGATTTTGACAATTTATACTATAGTTGATGATCTCCTTTGGAAAAAATCTAAAGATAACGATAAACTGGTGGTTCCAAAGAACAAACTCACTGAAGTGATTAAGTCCCATCATGATGCAGTAGCTCATCCTGGAAGGGATGAAACGATTAGATTGATATCTCAGAGATACTATGCTCCGAAGATGCATAAAATGATTGGGAATTACCTAAGTAAATGCACTGTATGTAAATCAGTGAAACCCTCAAAAGAACCACATGCTTCACTTCGTCCTCATACACCATCATATCCTTGGTAAGTTATTAGTATTGATATACTAGGCCCATATCCTCCTTCGAAAGGTGGACATCAATACATTCTAGCAGTCGAAGATGTATTTACAGGATGGGTTGAGGTCAAGTCTTTTCGAAAAATTAACGCTACCACTATAATCGAGTATCTAGAAACTGAAATCTTTTCTCGATATGGTTTTCCTTTTAGAATTATATCTGATAATGGTCCGCAGTTTGTAAGCCAACAGTACTTGAGTATGGGTAGTCAATATCAAATTGAATTATTTCATACACCAATATATCATGCTCGAGCGAATCCTGTTGAACGCCGAAATCAAGAATTAAAGAAACTGTTACGAGTATTATTATTTGATCAACCTAAGCAAAAAACTGGAACAAATAACTTAACAAGGCCTTATCTATTTTAAGAACAAGAAATAACGCCGCTACGGGTATGTCCCCTTGTAAAGCATTATTTGGATACGAAACATTAGGCCCAGGTGATCATTTATTACCAGCTAAAATGAAGTTACCTAGAGGAGACCGACAGCTATACGACAGCTATACGAGTAGCTCAGACTAACTTTCAAGCCAAGTATTCTCCACAAATTACTATTAAAAAGAAGTTTAATATAGGTGACTATGTTATGGTACGAGATAATCGTCAAATGAAACATGCTTTTGATACTCCATGGTCTGGTCCATATGAACTAATTGGATTTAAGGGAGCAGTTGTTTATAATATCTTGCGTGAAGGTAAAGATATTCTTGTTCATGTAGACGACATGAAACCTATAAATATTAGCCCTGATCATGATGATTCGTTTACTGACACTGACACAGATGATGCACAGAGACTCTTCTGGTCTCTGCTGGTTTTCGGACTCCTCATCCTCATGTCCTGGTCCCCTTTCATCTTGATGGTGAATACATGGCACCTGGAGTTTAAATGATGACCATCTGTTGATGTTTCCGGGGCTGATTGGTTATATGAGGATTTGAAAGGTTTGTTTTTGATATTTTGTCCCACTTTTTTCATTGCTTAGCAGGAGGTTACTTTTTCCAAGAAGTCTGAACCAAAAAGATATTCGTCTGTGGAGCTCTATTTTGCTCTCTTGATTGATAGAGGGACTTACCTCCCATTTCCTTTTTACTGATAGGGCGTGATGTACGCTAGCAAATAGAATCGATGCATCGGATAATTTTTGCACCAATTCTTCTTTAAGTTTCTTGCTTAAAATTACCCAATGACTGTCATGCCGGCTCCTATTTGTGCTTGCAAATTGAAAAAAAGGTGTAATTTCTCGTAGTCTGAAGTGATAGGATGGTTTTCATTTCGGTTGTTCATTTTGGGTGCTTGCAGAGAAGCACAGTTTGCTGGGGTAGGGTATTTTACAATCAATTCCTTCCGATTCTCGACTGGCAGCCCCTGTGACAAGTTCTTCCACAAGCTTAACACCAATTCATCGTGTAAGGCTTCCTCTTTTTTATTTTGATTAATGGGGCTGTCGCCTAAAACTTCAACGTATTTCTTATTTATCTCCCCATCTTAAGGTGTATGAGCTATGAGCTGGTGGAGCAGTTTTGCATAGCTCTTCGTTTTCTCTAGACTGAGAACTTCTTTTGGAACTTGAGTACGACTCTAAAAATAAATAAGTCGAATAGTACAAAAAATATATAGAATTAATACACTTTGTTAATTGTCAACGTGGTACATAAGACCTTCATAAAAAACTACATTAAAAAATAGGCTTGAGGGATGCATTGAAAACTCCACCGTAAAGCATCGCTGACCAGTCAACCACAAAAAGAGGCTCTCTTGAGGCGGTTAAGCCGCCTGATTATTATTTAAAACATTGGAAATAATTGAGAGATGTTCGAGTAAAATTCAATTGCGTCTCAATCTAAGGGTACGAACATAGTGGAGGCAGGTTTCTGCTTTCCGGCAGCCAGCGCCGTCTCTGGGGACCTATTCTTGACCACTCGCATCTTCAAATATCGCTCACATCTCGCATCTCCGAAAAAGCTATATAATAACACACGTGATGCGTAACTTTGCGTATATGCATCACGTGTATTGTTATATAGCTTTTTCGGAGATGCAGGCAAGGGAATTCAGTAGTTAATTAAGAGGAAATTTACCTGATTAACTAACCTAACCTAACCCTAACCATATTGAAACGCCGCGCCCATACGCGCCGAAGGGCCACATAGGGGGTATTTGGTCTATAAGCCTGGCCAAAAGTGATATTTTTTATTTTCATTTTTATCTTAGCGGTGTAAATCCATAAATACTAAATGTAAAGAAGCACGTTTATTAGCTTTTTAGGTCCATTAGGTTGACTATCAAATAAATAATATATTTCAATTATAGGGTATGAATTATCTTGAGTGTATTCCTGAATATTTCTAAGATTATAAAATGAATTAGGTGTTTGTAGTGCTTTTGCAAATTGTTTATAATAACTGTCATGATGGATACAGAGCCGACTGGCAGAGTCCTGTTTTATACCATATTTTTTTTTTTGAGAACGTTTCCTTCCTATTATTCTATTTCTTTATAACGTTTTATATTTAAAAAGTAGAGACATTTTATAAAGGTGTAAGACTATTCGGCAATATTCCGCATTGAAGTGGTATCCGTTCAATGCTTAAAAGTCTCAACTTTGGAATATGTACAAAATCTTTATAATATTGCCACCTTGAAAACATTGATTTAAATAGATTCTTAAAGAAAATGAGTCATTACCCTATAACACCCGTCCTCAACTCAAATATCGTCGATAATATACAAATTACTTTCTTGTTCTAGCATCCCTCATCCAATTGCTTGGTTTTGCAAATGGCCCTATTTGATCGGTGGAAAGGGTTTCCAGGTGAAGGGAAAAATATTGTGTAGGAAAACAAAATGAGGTTCCATATTAGCACCCTCTCCTCTAATTAATATTACTTGCAAAAAAGCAAAAAAATTATACAACATAATTTTGGCCAACTTTTAGTTCTTAATACCCTCTGTGCGCCGTCGGCGCCTGCAAAAGCAGAAATAAATAAATTTTCGTTCCGGTAAAAGCGAGAACGCCGATGAACGCTGGTTTAGGGATGTCGATCTCAGATCGATTAATCGAAAAATCGATTATTTACCGAGAAATAATCGATTTTTTGAATCGATTCGAGACGGTGGATCGATTCAATGAATCGATCTAAGAACTGCCCGAATCGGACCGATTCACGTTATAATGGTTTCATGTCATATCTCACGTCACAAAAGATGTAAACCGCTAACAGTATCGACACTTTCATAACATCTTTACGACATCCTTAATGCGAGTCAGGAGTGGCAACTTTCCAAAAGAAAAAACTACTTTTCTTCTACAATGTTTGTAGCATTTTAATTTTATAGCGGTTTCTGATCTAGGGACTTTAGTTTCCGTTGGTACGTGGTGCGCACTGAGTGTATTTCTATCTCTGTTAAGTGACGTTTGACGTTGAGTAATAAAGACAAAGAACAAAAATATATTCGATGCGCATTAGCCCCAATGGAAACCGCTATTAGTATTTCGACATGTGACAAGACTGACAACATAACTTTACTGACTTGACAAGTGCATGATTATTGCAATAATAAATTATTGTAATAAACGATTGCAAACAATGATTGCAAATTATTAGGTAAACTTTGATTAAAGGCTGTCTCCGCTCCTCCTTCAAGCTCCAGCTCCAGCCTCCTCCTACCTCGTAATCCTCGTGCAAGCAAGAATCGTAATTCTTGGTCCTCGTCCTCGTGTTATTTTTAGTTTTAAAATTGTGTTTGCTTGTGTTATATTCTGATAAAATCAAATACAGGATCAAATACACGATCCGAAAGGTAAGTGAAACATAAATTATTATATATATATACAGTATGTTTGTTAAAACATTCTTTTTTTTCTTAGCCTAAAATGTCAAGTAAAAGTGATACCTGGAAACATTTTGTAAAAAAAGGATCCAGTGGCATATGTAAGCATTGTCACATTGAAGTGAAGACATGCGGAAACACAACAAATTTACGTAACCATTTATTACGTAGACATCCAACTATCAAGACCGTAAGTCAACGTAAGCAAGTGGTGGCAAAGGCAAATAATCATATTGGTGGTGGTAACAAAGAAATAGAAGTGTGTATCTATATACTACTGTATATATCAATAACCTCTCCGTAGTCTTAGTGCAATGTGCATGCTTAGAAACTATTTTGAAAGTGTTAGTTTTCTGGTTCGACTAAAATAATGAAGTAAAAAGTGCTTATTATTTCCAGATAAATAATATTGATGCTCCTTCAACTTCAAAAGAGAAACCTGTCACATTATGTTATGAAAACGAATCAAGTTTGATTAGTTCAAAAGACTGTGATTCTGACTTGGAAAGTGTAGCATCATCATCAGTATCACAGGAAAAGTCAAACTTTAATCAGCTAACTATGGATTTATGTGTTAATAATATCAAATCATTCAAAGGTGAGATTTTTTGCAGTTAGGTATGACAAATTATTTTTTGTTATGAAGAATGACCTTTATTACTTTATTGTAAGCAAATTAAAAATAGTACATTTTTCTTTCAGTAAATGGAAATAAGAATGGACAAATAAATAATGCCATCATGTTCATGATCTGTAAGGATTCATTACCACTGAACACAGTTGAGAAAGAAGGGTTCCAGTACCTCATGAAAACAACAGTGCCTTTATATAAACTTCCTTCACGACGCACAGTTACTCAAATGATAGATGACAAGTATGATATTGTTTCACTGCAATTCAAGGAAAAGCTTGTAGATGTGGAGTCAATATGTTTAACTACGGACATCTGGACAGACCCACATAATACAAGGAGTTACATGGGTCTAACAGGCCATTTTATTGATGAAGGTGACCTGATGAGTATAAATTTTGGTGTGTCACATTTAACTGAACCTCACAATGCGGATTACTTGACTCAAATGATAACTACAATGGCGGAAAAATGGGGCATAACATCAGAAAAAGTTACAGCTGTCATAACGGACAATGGTGCCAACATAGTGAAGGCGGTAATAACAGCGTATGGGAAATCAAAACACATATGGTGTTTTGCACATACACTAAATTTAGTGGCTCAAAAACCTTTTGAAGAGAAAGATGGTGTAGAGAGTGCTAAAGCATTGCTACACATTATAAAGGATATAACTAGATACTTCAAACAAAACGTTAATGCTGCTGATGCCCTTCGTAAAGCTCAAAATAATACAGGACTACCACTCAAATTGATTCAGTCTGTTTGTACAAGATGGAACTCTATATATTACCAGATAGAACGGTTTGTGAAATTATCAGAGTTTATAGCTCCAATATTACTCAACCACCCGAAAGCTCCATCTATGTTGTCAGCAAGTCAATTAGATGCTATTAAAGATCTCATAAATATCTTGAAACCCATGGAAGCTGTCACAAAAGAAGTGTGTGCAGAAAAATTTGTAACGTCGAGCAAAATAATTCCAATAGTATCATGTCTTTTTGAAACATATAGTGCAATGAAGACAGAAACAGAAGTTGGCACTGCAACAAAAAAATTAATAATAGAGGGATTTAAAAAAAGGTTTGGCACAGTAGAACAAGTCAACATGCTGGCCATATCAACTATACTTGATCCAAGATTTAAGAAAATACATTTTTCTGATAAACTGGCATGCTCGAAAGCCATCGATAAAATCAATACTATGATTAGGATTTTCAAAAACCAGTTAGAAAAAGATGTAACTCATGAAAATTCAGCCCATATTCAACCCCAGATTACAGAAGCAGAGGAGCCTAATATTTGGGAATTCCATAATAAATTGGTGAAAAATCAGCGTCATTCAATTTCTCAAGAGATTCAAGGAGAAGGTTTGCAAGATGAATTCAAGCATTATTTGGCCCAGCCTGTAGTCGACCTCAACACTACCAATCCCATCTCATACTGGCACAATCACAAACATTCCTTTTATAGTTCAATAAGGCCAATTGCTAATAGGTATTTCTGTGTAGTTGGAACATCTGTTCCTTGTGAACGACTTTTTTCTGTTGCGGGAAATATTGCAAGTGATGAAAGGAGTCGCTTAGATCCTGAGCGGCTAGATAAATTAATTTTTTTAAAATCACTTGATTTCAATTATTGGGAAATGTAAATTAATAAATGCCAAGTAGATACTATAGTTTATTCAATATACTCCCTTATTATTGTTTTTGATTTTTGGAAAAAATGTAAACAGTAAACCAAATCAAACTACAAAGACTAACGATTCGATTAATCGAACATCGATATTTCGATGTTCGATTTAATCGAGAATCGATTCCAATGCTTTCGATTCAAATCGAATCGAAGATCGATTTTTTTTAGAAAGAATCGACATCCCTAGCTGGTTGAAGCGAAACACACCTGCTTTCACTGTAGACTAACCGGTTGATAGCTTACGCTTTATTTTTCAAGGTTATAAAACTGAGGCAGCGCAGCGCCTATATATACCATATACAGGGTGTCCCAGAAATACGATGCAAATTATTTTAACTTAACTAGTAGTATGAGTTTAAAACTGAAACACGCCTATGAGGTTTCTAATAATTTTTTTTTGAAAATTCAGATTTTGAAAATATTTTTTTGAATTTTTTGCAATTTTTAGTTTTATTTAAAAAATAATTTCTAGATAATATAGCATAGGTAGTAGATTAAATTTATAAGAAAGAGGAAATCAGAAAGCTCGAGTGGTTCTCAAACCAAATCTCGAAATTATTGGAAGAATATGTAAGGACCAAATTTATTGACTAAAATAAAACGACGAAAAGCAGCATATTTACGGTCATATTTTTCCAAGAAATAACAAATATAGTTTCCACCACAGCTGATCGTTGAGGGAAAGATTGAAGGGACGACGAGGCATCGGGCGTAAACGGTTTCCTGCGCGCGGAATTTGCGCCAGTGGTTTAATATAGAACAAATTTTAATTATCGTTTGAAAACAAGACGGGAGGAATTCCAATTGATGGTCATAACCTCCGATGAGGAGAGAGGCACATGAAGAAGAAAGAAAGAAATTGCTTTATTGTCGCAAAAAATTTTACAATTTTGTTGACAAAGCTTAAAAAGAATATATAAAAACATACAAAACTTCATAACAATGAAAACATATAAAACTAACAGCAAACATACAAAACTAAAACAATGCACTTTTTATACAATTATAGAAATTGTACATTGTCAAGAAATTTATTTAATTAAATTCATAGTAGAGCCATAAAACATGCAATGTAAATAAACAATAATATAATGTTAATACTAAGAATTTAAATGGATGAAAACAAAACATTTCTTGATTTGGTGAATGTGTGTTAGAATTAGAAACCCTAGATATTACTAAAAATCGTTAACCACCGCGTAAAGACTTTCTCAGTAAGTATGATCTCAAGGCTCTGCGAAATGCGGAAAGGGATGAAATGGAATTAATTTCAGATGGCGGATGATTGTGCATTTTTTGCATTGGCCTGTATGGAACTCTTTACTAACTCAGGTGGGGGTTGGCAGATACATGTGTTATGCTCTGCAGGATTCCCTGGTGGATAGCCATGAACTGGCCCTAAATACTCGATACGTGCTTGCGAACTAGGCAGACAGTTCGGTATGAATGGGGAGGAAGAGTTAATATTTATATCTTTTAAACGAGTCCCGGCAGTGAGCACGACTGGTTAGCCTCGGTGAATATCGCACAGCTCTCTTTTGTAATTTGAAGATACGCTCAAATTGGGTCGCACAACACGCACCCAGAATGGAAGTGCGGTATCAGGAATACGACTCAAAGGGCATAATAGACTGTATCCTAGATGTTGTTGACAAATTAAGCACGGTAACGAAGCTGGTCAAGTGCAGAAACGGAGCGGAACTTAATTTTTTTAGCTACAAAGCATCGATGTGCAAATCCCATTTTAAATGGTTATCACAACAAGGCCTAAAATTTCACAGTCAACGACGTCAATGGTGGGTATTATCAAGTTGAAAGGTAGCAGCGCTTTATGTATATGATAAGACTTTGAACTTTAGGAACGTTGGACACAGATAATTAGAAGAATCCCCTTTTCCCATGTTTTATGTTGATTGGTACTGGAAATGGTTCTATGAAGTGCCGTGGTGTCGGGCACCACTCCATGTAGAATAAATTATCATCCCGCGAAGAACCAGATTTTACCACTGATGTCCAGACTAGCAATATCGTTGATAAACAACAGAAACAAAATAGGACCCTAACACTGTGCCTGGGTACTCCGCATTCCTATTGGCTTGCAAGAGACACGAGTCTTACATCGAAGCCCTCACACGCTGGTTTCTGTTGTTGGGTGGTTCAACCATTCAAGAGGCGTTTCCCTGATACCATAGTACTGCAATTTGTTAGTTGGGATGTTGCATGATTAACACAATCCAAGAAAGCTTTCGAGAATGCGAAAATTGTTGCTGTAACAGGACGGTTGTTCAGACTGGGTACATTATTAAACAGCGAAACATAGCGTCGGTACATTTGTTACTCAAGAACCCAAACTGAAAGGGGTGGTAACATTTGAAGTGCAAAACCTCTTTTAACAGATCTCTCCATGATCTTCGATAACGTGGGAAGGGAGTGCAATTGGACGATAGTTGGGCTTTATGTATACCTCCTTTGGCCGCGAAAGGAATAATTATCGCCGACTTAAGGCAATTTGGAAGAAACACCGTAGTGACTTGTAATTAAGGCTGAAAGATGGTTTAATGCCCTGTTCCAGCATACTAGGGAACATTTTAAGAGTAAGTCCGTCGGTCCCTGCTGAAGATTTGGCGCGTATGTTGCAATGTATTGCGAAGCTCACCAACCAGGCGTAAGGAAGAAACTGTGCAAATTAACATTATAGTCAGAGAAATGATAGAGGGATCAGGGAGGGTGAAGATGAGTATTCATATATTCTTCGCCACATTTACAAAGAGAAGTAATTGTTTAGGTCCTCAGGTGAAGTTGAGGTTATGTTGGACAGAAGAAACCTTACTCATAGTCATTCCACAATCGACCATGTTTCTTTGCTTAGCAATATTACGGACTCAATTCAACCTCTATTGTAATAGGTATTGGCGGCTTTATAGTACTTATGGTAAATTTTTCCTGTAAAGAGTTTTCACGTACTCGTGAAAGGCACTATCGAGAATTTTTTAGGTGAGATAAAAAGAGCGCATGTTTTTGCAGATGTACGTAGGCCCTTAGTAGTCCAGGGTTTATGATGTTTAATTTTGACAGGCCTGAGTGGAAGGCTTTTGGATGCCAGACCAGATAATGTTTGTATAAAATCCTGGAAAATTCGGTGTCTACATCACCAAGAGATGACATGCCAATCTGTTGTTGAATAAAGCTGCTTAAAATTTATAAAGTTTTTCGAAAAAATACGTCCCTAATTTACGAAAAGTGTTTCTACTCTCTCGGATTTTATGGAAAATTTTACCATTTAATGCTCCTTCATGATCAAGAAGCCTGAGTTCAACACAATTTTGATCAATAATTCTGGATCGAGATGACACGACGTAGTCTATAGTACTAGAACAAGTTCAGTGATTCTTGTTGATTACATCAACATGCATTACTACACTAAAGTCTCGAAGATAGACTGGAGATTCCCCGAGCATCACACACACTGGAGAGATCAGTATTGGGTCACTTACACAAAGTCAACCTACTATTCACAGGCGGGGACTCTAGCAAACTCAGTAATTTCTGAAAGAACATACTTCATATCTGCGTCGGGTGTTCTATAAATACAAAACAATATAGAGGTCATAAGCAGTAATAGGTAGATGATGAAAATTCAAACATTTCTCGGCTAATAAGTGATCAAAATTTTGTTATTGCCGTGGGTTTTTGTTAGTGAACTTTTATTATCATAGTACCCTCATGGGATAAGTGCTTCTATTAAGAAATCTAGCTATTGTTGTTTTCACAAACACGGGCTCATCGGGATTTAACCAATGTTCCGTTATGGCAATGATTTCAGGAAATTTGAGCTGTTCAATGAAATAATTCATCTGTTTTTGTGTCTTAAGGTTGGAGCAGTGATAAGAAAAATACCCAAAGGTAAAAGTAAAAGGTTCTCAAATTTTGGCAAAAGTAAAAATAACTCCGTTATTTTGGCTTATTGAAAAACGATAAAGAGAAAATATGTTTCTTTATCGAGGATCTACCACCAACACAAGAAATACTTGCACTTATTTCTGGGATGCCTGTTTATAACATGCGTGATGCGTATGCATGAAAGTTGCGAACGATGTCAAGAATAGGTACACCCAGATTGGCGCTGGCTACCGAAGCGGCAAACCTGCTACATAATGGTTGCCTAAGGCGTGAGGCGCAAAGCAATGAACAGAGCGACAACTCTGACATCCATCTGTCACTGGTTTGAATGTCAAAGTCAAAGAGAAAATTATAAAAATTATCTGACGCCATTACCGACAACGTGCAAAGAAGAATCAGAAACGACCGCGTCCCGCGCACGACAAAATCAGTGTAAAGAGACTTTTTAACATGAACCGTATATATATTTTTTTCTGTACGATACATGTTTTTTTAGTTAAGTATAATCAATTATAATAAATGTTAGTGTGAAGTTAAAATTACGTCCCTGTGATCCTCTTCTTCACCACCCTAGAACATACCACTGTGGTTCATTGGTCCTTCAGAGCCGGATAATCGAAAGCGAAAATCGTAAAGTGTATCGGTAATTTCGCCGACCGACGAAGCGGCCATTAACTCGAGACCGTCTTCCCGATTACGGTAGCCTTGTTCCCCAGGCGTCGGGTTCGTAAGGAGTTACCCTTATTGCAGCAGAGGGAGCGCGATAGAGTGGAATCCGCGAGGCTAGAACGATCTTGGGATCATATGGGACGAGATTGGCAGCGTTGTCGAATTCAAGGAAAAGGATCTAAGCCGTGGGTGAGGGTGTTCCAGCGTATCGAATGGTTCCATTACCGCTTTGGGAAACATCGTCGAGAACATTGATTCCTGGGTCGTATAAACCTTTTTATCCGCATTATATTTAGATTGTTTCTATTTGCGCTAATTCCGTATAAAGTTCAGAGTTTTTGCCCGTATCCGAAATAGTTTTACGATAGTATTATTTTATTATTTTTAAATATTATAACTAATTGTTTCTTAAGTAAATAAAAAAAACGAATCCTAATAATTTACAAACTCTTAAGAAAAAGCGAGGTAATATAAAAGGTCAAATTACGCGTTTTGAAAATTTTATAAATAACTTCAATGATGAGTATGATCAATTAAAAGTACGAATGGCACAATGTCAAAGGTTGTGGCAAGAATTCGATGAGGTTCAAATGCAAATAGAGACGCATGAGGATGTTAATGGCGAGGACACAAACGTTGACGAACGTGCGGAGTTTGAAGATAAATATTATCAAGTGATTGCAAATGCAAACGGCATTTTAGAATTAAATTTGACTAATTCAAACTCAGCACAATCCATTCAACAGGTGGCTCCACACCATATTCCAGGTATTAAATTTCCGAAAATAGATCTACCTACTTTTACCGGTAATTATGATGAATACATGAGTTTTCATGACTCTTTCAATGCCTTGATAAATGACAATCCTACTTTAAGCGATATAGAGCGATTTCATTATCTTCGCAGTTCTTTAAAGAATGGGGCAGCTGATGTGATATCTGGTCTTGAAACTACTTCTCCAAACTATCACATAGCATGGAAGTTGCTCAAGGATACATATCACAATAAACGCCTCATTATACACAATCACGTAAAGGCAACTTTTGAACTACATCAGTTAAGCAGAGAGTCACATGTCAGTCTAAGGCAATTATTAGATAATTTTAATAAAAATGTGAGAGCATTAGAATCATTGCAAGAGCCTGTTGACAAATGGGACACTCTACTTATATACTTAATTTGCTCAAAGCTTGACAATTCCACCAGAAGGGAGTGGGAGGTAGTCTCAGAACCCTTAACCATTCCTACAACAAAGGATTTTACCGATTTTTTGCATAAAAGGTGCATTCTGTTGCAAACAATAAATTATAAAAAACCGGAAAATAAGTCACAAAGTCCATCAAATATGTTATCGTTCAAAAATGCAAAAAATTTTCATCATAAAGAGCAATCTCAAAATTATTTTGCGATGGCTGCGTGTGTCATATGTAAACAAACTCACAAAATTACAATTTGCGATAAGTTTTTAAGTTTGTCTCCGAAGACGCGATACGCTGAGGCTAAGAAACATAAGTTATGCGCAAATTGCCTTGGTGCTGGTCACTCATATCAGACATGCACAACCGAAAACCTTTGCAATGTTTGGCAATAAAAAGCATCATGTACTCTTGCATTTTGAAAATAATAAAAGCACTGATAATCCCAGTTCAAGAAAATCAGTATCAGCTCATACTACCTTTAAAATGATGAGATTTTGTTATCGACAACCAATTGTTTTATGTGTGATAGTTCTGGTGAATATCATAATCCCTACTGGATTTCAGGTTCATAAAGTAACTTCATTAGAAGAACTATGGTGAGAAACAATTGACCACAAGCAAACTTTGCGGTCTCAGGGCTGAGTAAACTTCTCTAGACATTTCCCATAAAATTACAGGTAACCATTAAATCTGTTCACAATAATTTCCAAACAGATCTCTCTTTTTTGGTAATAGATCAAATTACGGATAATCTGCCTTTGAACACCGCCATTGACTTTTCGAATCTTCCAGATACCAGAAATATAAAATTGGCTGATCCATCTGCAATGTGCCATCAAAATTGATGCTACTGGGCGCATCAATTTTTGGAGTTTACTGTGTGGACAGATAAAATTAACAAATTCAGACTATTGCTCAAAAGAGACCAAACTGGGATGGATTCTATCGGGTCAAGCTAACATTTCAGTAAATATCCCTAGCAAGACAGTGTGTCATTTTTTCACCACCAATTCAGAACTACAAAGAAGCAATTCGAAAACTTTTGGCAGATAGAACACGTCGAATCATCACCAGTTTGGTCCCTAAGAGCAAAAGACTTGTGAGAATGATTTTGTATTAATCGCAAACGTGAAAATGGAAGATTTTTCTGTTCAGCTGCCATTAAAGATAGACAGTTCAAAATTAGGCGGAACAAAACCAATGGCCTTAAAAGCGGTTTAAGTCTTTTGAAAATGGATTTGCACCAGTAACACTGAGTTTTAGAAAGAAAAATTCTAAAAACACTGAGTTACATACAATATACCCGACTTTCTTGATGAATCAAAACGCTAGAGCCATGTCAAGAAGTTCATACTAGAAGATCAAGCGTTTGATTCTCCTCCCGCATACTTGTGTTTTTAAGAGAGTCCTCGTCAACTGCAGGCTAAGGGTTGTGTTCGACAACTTCTGCAAGCAGGATGGTATGCTTAATGATACTCGCGGCCAGGTTACTACAATTCAACCAGGATCTGTTTTTCTTACATTATACTTGATTTCCAGAAAACATCCAATATGTCATAACAGCTGATTGTGCAAAGATGTACCGCCAAGTAAATGTGCATGATAATCAGCGACATCTTCAATCAATTCTTTGGAAGGAGTACTGATGAACTCTGAAGGTACACTTTAAACACAGTAACTTAGTGCGCCTTTTTTTGGCAGTCAGATGTCTGCATCAATTAGCTCTTGAAATCAAAAACGGAACCCCAAAATAAGTAGTAATCAAAATGTTTCATAAAGGTAGGATTGTACAGTAAACAACTTGTAAAGGCATACCTGTGTGTTTTTATATGTTTGTTTACTAAAAGGCTGTCACACCTGGAATTGGTAGTGGATTTAACTACCAACTCATTTCCTTAAATACATTCAAATGTTTTATCTCGCAGAGGGGCAAATGCTTAAGCATGTATTCAGATAATGGCACGAACCTTTATCAGTTGCAAATCATGAATTAGAAAGTTTTTTACGCAAGTCCAAATCAGAATACCTTTACCCGGAATTCACCGTACCCACTGAACAAATATCGTGGCATTTTATACGCTTCCCATTTGGCGGAATTTAGGGAATCCGGCGGTTCAAAAGCTATCAATACCACATTTACGAAGGGTTATCCGGTCAATCTACTCCTGACATATGAGGGACTTATACGGGTTTGGGTACAGGTAGAAGCATTACAAATTCGCGGCCGCTCTCGCCATTGTCAGGCGATCCCGACGACTTAACTCCGTTAACCCTAAGCTACTTTCACAGTGGAAGCTCTCCTTGGTAGCAGTGCCTGAACCCGACATCTCCATTTGAATGCAGACGTCTCTCAAAGAAGTTCCAACACCTGCCACAGATCACGCAGCGACTGGAAGCGATGGTTACGAGATTACCTCCACCGAGCTTCAGCAACGATCAAAGACCACGGACATTCGACTAACCAAAGTGTCCATTAAGGTGAGATGAGATGGTACTAGTGGATGACAATTTACCGCCATTACCATGGCCTTTGGGTCGTATATCAGAGATACATCCAGGTTCGGATGGTGTTGTCCGTGTAGTGACTATAAAAACGGCAAAGGGCATCTCAAAACGTGCGGTTCGCAAAATATGCGTTTTGCCTGTAACGGAGTAATGTGTGTGACCCGCACTAATAGTTATCGCATCGGATTTGTGTGGTTGCGTTGAATGACTTAAATGACTACAACCATTCAAGGTGGGCGGTATGACGCGTACCGGCAACGTCGCAAGAAGAATCCGAAGCGACCGCGTCCCGCGCGACAAAAATCAGTGTAAAAGAGACTTTTAACATAGACGATATATATTTTTTTTTCTGTACATTTACATATGTTTTTTAGTTAGTATAATTAGTATAATAAATGTTAGTGTTTGATTAAAATTACGTCTAGTCTCTTCTTCACCACCCCAGAACATACCATTGTGGTTCATTATCTATGGATGGAGAAAAGGGCTGTCGCACGTAAATTTAATATTATTATTATATTCCTATAAAAAACTAAGTATGTGGATGGCCATGTAGAAAAGTGGAGTGATCAAGGTACGCACACTTATAAAAACATCTGAAAACACCCTTACACGAGAAAAAAGCTGTGGTCATTATACAACAATTACATTTACAATTAAAAAGATGTTACTAAATGTCTGCAACCAGAAAAACATTAGGCACGATTCAAAAATCACTATACAATTCTATAAAACATTAAGAGGTACTGAATTCTCAATAAGAAAAAGAGACACATTGAAAAGTTAAAAGGGGTACATGTAAAAGAGTTAATGACGACAACAATCTGTCGAAAATGATGACAGTGAAACAGAAGTTCAAAATGTTAACTACGTAAACATTAGCAATATATTACAATAGGATATAAAAAAACTTACAAAGTCACTCCGTAGAGGGACGAACAAACAACATCAAAAATTGAGACTCAATTGAATAACAATAGTAAAAACAATAATGCGACTTGGTCAATCCAAGAAACGGCAATGCACCAAAATAGCAGTGCACCCCACGCAATTATTTTGGATTAAATTAAACAAGTAATCAAAGGTAAAACCACCATTGGTCCTGAAGGGACCAAGGGTGGGTGAAGAGAAGGAACAAGTGCACGAAGGCACCTGTTATGGTGATATGCACTGGAATATGTTAGTGCATACACCTTAAAACAGTCCGAGAGGGACTGGGGAAGGGGCAATTAACAAAATTCGTAGCATCTATACAAGATATGGTCAACATTCCGTTCCATACATCATCAACGAAATGCGACAAAGATCTCCAGGTGAAACAACTGTCCCACTCACCACCTACACAACAACTCAGCACCACGCGATGGGTGCGAATTGTGTGAGTGTTCGAGAGTCGACGCACTGTTAGTATGAAAATTCTTAAAAACCGAATTTTCTTTGACTTAAAAATCCTTTTAGTGGTTAACTAAAAGTTTTTTCGACAAATGGTAAGGCAAGTGTTAATGTGAGAGGAACAGCGAACAACCAAGAGACCGGGCTAGCTTTGTAATGCCAACTGTGGGTGCACGCAGCACGCACAGTACCACCTGCGATAGGCTGAGGGTTTTTTAAAATAATCAATTGAAGAGGAGACAATACACTGAAGGTGCAAAGCTCCCAAATAATATAGGAGGGAGAGGTTACCTACACTCATGACTAGGGCCACAGACGCAGCAGTTAGACCTTTTTTGTAGAAAATTATAAGAAAAATAAAAAACAGAAAAATGGGAAAACAGAAGATTATAGCAACAAAGCAGTTAATAGTATTAAGAAAATATTTAAGTTTGTGGGAATTAAAATGTTGGATCTAAGATTGATTATCATGTAATGTTATGTAAATTAAAAAATACTGGAGAACTAGTAAAAAATAGTTGGTAGTATTAGAAAGTTTTTTTATTAGTTTAATTTAATATTTATTAATAAATAATAATTATTTATCGGTGTATGCAGAAAGGGCACATGTCAATTTTTTCACAAATTGACATTTACGTTAAAATTTATTTTCTTATGGTATACACATCAGAGTATGCATAAACGGCGCACGTCCTCATACTCTACCTGTTAGAAATCTCGGCTATCGGTGTAACGCGTTATGCATAAAGGACACACGTCAGTGACATGTGCCGTTTATGCAAGATGCTAGTGTATTATTTGGTGGGGGTGTGTCAAGTTTATCGGCCAGTTTACGTATAATGAGGCGTCAGTTTTCAGTTGGTTTTTTATTGTTTAATGGAGAGGTACGCGTGGGCCAAATTTCACTTGTTATCGGACGTTATACATATAACTCAGCTTCAGTTAGTTATGTGTTGTTTAAGGGACAGTGTGCGTGAGCAAAATTTCACTTGTTATGGAAGACAATCCTGAATCAACATCTAAACATAAAAAACGAAAAGCAGATCCTGCTAGGTATGCTCGCAACATACAGAAAAAAGCAAGATTAGAGGGAAAATCGTATAAAAACAGTAAAGGAAGATATGTTCTTGAAAAAAAGTGATGGAAAGTCTTTGTAGGTGGGTTGCTTTTAGAGCGTGTATTTTTTATAGCTTTTTAATTTTATTTTTTAGTTGCAGGATGAAATGCTCTGAAAAGTTCTTTAATGAAGCCAAATTGGCAATTTTTCAACGATTTTATTCTTTGAGCTCCAAAAACGAACAAGATATATTTCTGCAGGGTCTTGTGGATGTAATAGAAGTACAGCAGCGGTGTCCCCGGCCTGGTGACAAAAATAAACCTAAATCAAAAAGTTGTAGAGGTACTACTCATTTCCAGGGACTTCCAAAATAGAGATCTGCCTTAAAGCTTTTTTGAATTTACCTACAAACGCATTAGGAGAATTAACAACTTGTCC